AGGGCAGCAAACACCAAGAGATCCCACTCGATGCCGTCGTGGAACCCTTTGGTGTCTAACATACCGCGCCCCGTAGGGAGCTTCACCCACCCCGCAACCTCGTCGGCCAACGTGCAGTGGAAGGCTTTCAACAACGAACTGTTGCCTCTGATGGCTGCGTCCCATTCCGTCTCAACTAAACCACACCACTCACGAACTTGCTGTTCACGAATACCCGACCAAATACGACCGATCATAGAGATGAGACCGATGACTCGATCTCCCTCCACTTTTTTAGGTGGCAGTTCACCTATCATCAGCTGCGTTTGATGAGGCCATGTGAGCGTAGCTTCGAAGACGTTCATCAGCGCTGCAAGCTCCTCAAGGCCTGCTTGCGGAAGTCGCTCCACGCCCAGCGGTGAGAGCCGATCTGCCCCCAGACCCGTCTTGCCGCGCATACGGCGCGCCACCCCGCATCTGCCGCGATTGGCCCCGTGGGTTCGTCGCGCGCCGCCTCCTTGATTGCAGCAAAGGCCTCAGCTAGTCGCTCATCTTGAGAAGCGCCAGCATACCCAACGCGTTCTGACCCTGACGGCGAGGACCGAGAGGTATCTGACAAAACATTGGCAACGCGGGAGACGAATGGGCTCGAGGAGCACCCGCCGCTCTGCTCGGACGCCCCAGCAAAACACGGCGTGGCCTGAGAAGCCCCCGACAAAACATTGGCAACTTGAGAAACGGCTGGGTTCGAGAAGCACCCACCGCTCGGCCCTGACGCCTCAGCAAAACGTGGCTTGGCCGAAGAGGCCTCCAGCAAAGCATTGGCACCGGCTGCGTGGAGAGGGTTCGAGGAGCACCCTTCCATTTGTTCCGACGCCTCAGCAAAACATGGCTCAGCACCTCCGCGTCGACCTGCGAATGTCCAGAGCTCCTTCCACTGCTTACCCTCGCGATCCAAGATGTCCCTGGGGTGCACCAGAACAGCACTGCCAGTCCAAACCTCCGGTGAAGGAAGAGGTTCTTCGCGCATACTATTGCGCAACATCCCAAGCGCCGCTTGAAAAGTAATCCACGACCGAAATTAACTAAGGGGCTCTCGCACAGCACGTCGATGAGCGCGCTTGGAGAGCCTGTCTGCTTGTTGTTGAAAACTGGCAATCACCACATCACGGGCAGCTTCTAAGTTCAGGAGCAAGCCATTCCAAACTTGAATCCCAGCATCCTTTTTGGCTCAACAGAATCTTGTTCACTCCGTCGGGCTTCTCGGTGGCTAGGCGCCTGGCTGCTTGCTGCAACTGAACCAGCTGGGTCCGTCCATTATCACGCCCACGGTGCCGCTCAAACTGCGAAAGAACAGATGAAACTCGTTTCCACCAGCGCGCAACTTGATCTCTCAAAGGGGCAGCTCCTGACCGAGAACTCTGCTTGACCGGTTCAACAAAAGAACATCCAGCGCCCCGTCGAGGGCCTCCAGATGGAACGACTTGATGATGAGCATGTATGACATCCTCGACAGTGTTAACCCACCGGGAATGCCACGAGCTCACAGAATGGACATGGCCAGGATTGAGCCTAAAAGCGACAGGGGTGAGAAAGTGAGAAGGAGCAGGCGGGGCCAGGTCCCCCTGATGCAGGAGCCTGTGCTGCTCCCGCACATCCTCTGGAATAAAGTAGCTGGGCTCAACCTTCTCTTGTGGCACTTCCGAGGGTTCAGGCTCGACCTGGCTCACCGATTCACGACCTATGGCGGGGGGGGGAGGGGGCCTGCTGTTGGTGGGGCAACTATTCAGCTGACTGCCTGACACGTCGGGGCTGCGAATCCCCGAGTTGACGATGCCGGATTCAGGCGCGCATGCTTTTTCACTCAGCCTGCTAGGACCGACGAAGTTGAGCTTGGGTCCTCTTCCTCCTCTTCATACGCGAGGGGGAAAGCCCCTTCTCCAGGAGCGTCGGTCGCATCGTCCTGGGAAGGGTCTCCGGCAAAAACAAAACCAGAACGCTGCGAATTCCGAGCGCCCCCGAAGAGACTCAGATAGTTCTCAGAGCGCTTCCCCGCGGCGACGGCAGCTTGCGCCGCCTTCTTCCTCTTGGCCGCCGAGGCCTTGGACCCTGGGGTCGCTCTCGCCAGAGGGCGAGAAATTTGGGGCAATCTACCTGCACGCTCTAAGCGACGCGTTAGAAGCTGAAGGCCTGAGGAGCGAAGGGAGAGAGCCAATCCTATGCGCGGGCGCCAGGGCACGCCCAGGACGGGCTCCAGCTTGACGAGGTGCGGAAGGGGGGGCCTCGGAGACTACTGCGTAGTCGAGCAGGCTGCCCTCCTCGCCTGAGTCGCGCGTAACCTGAACCCCAGGTAGCACAACTCTTCCTTGAACTTGCCGCAGAAAGCCACTCCGAGAGGGAACACCAGGCCCCATGTTCCAATCGCCCAGGCATATCCACGGCAGCTGAAGGTTGTGCAAAGCCCTCCAATGTTATGAAGCCCTGCAATATTCTTACCAGCGAAACCGATAGACGAGAAGCAACATGCAATCAACAACACCAGCGGGGGGGGAAACAAAAAAAAAACGGAGGGGCATCACCGACGCGGTGAACCCATCCAGCGCGTCGCTGCCGTCGGACTTGAGCGCCCCCGTCGCCCTGGCCTCGGCGAGCGGCTCATCTTGCAAGTTGCCTCGAGCAAGTGGCCACTCACCTCCTTTATTTGCGCGATCCTCCTGCGTCTGGCTACCGCGTCCTGATGGTCGGGCAGCATTCGCTATCAACCTGAGCTTCTTCTGCCTAGCCTTGCCCCCCCATGTGCGCATCTGACTCGACCCCGCGCGAGCCCCCGCGCATCCCACGGCGCCGAACTTGGTTGACGAATCTAAGCAACGCGTCCACGCACGGTCACCCATGGCCGCGACGCTCGCGAGAAAGATGTGGGAGACGGGTTCGTTCTCGGACGAGCTCGAATCAAAGGGCGAAGCTGGCGCCTGCACCTCCGCCCCGGGGCGAAGCTGTTGTTCGCTGGGCAGGGCCGCAGGCGCTGACCGTTCGGCCGCGGCTGTGCCAGCCTGGCCCCTGCCCTTGGCCTTGGCCTGGGCCGCGGCCTCCGCCGCCGCGAGCTTGGCCGCCGAGATCTTGGCCGCCTCAGCGCGCAAGGCCTCCTTCTCGGCTGCGGCCGCCGCAGCGCCGGGCGCCGCTGGGGCTTCCGCTGCCGCAGGCGGTGGCGGGCCGCCGTCGACGCTGCCCACGCCGCCGCCGTCGCCAGCAGCCTCGGCATTGCTGCCCGCCTCGGCAACCGTAGCAGCGCCGCCGCCGCCGCCGGAACCCTCCTCGGAGTCGTCGACCCGCCTCCGCTTAGCCGCCAACCTCTCGGCGATCTCGGGCTTCGACTTCTCCGCCTTCGCGCGCCAGGACTGGACCTCCGCGTTCTTCGCCTGGAAGTCCTCCTGCATCTTCAGCAACGTGGCATGAATCTGCTTGAGCTCCTGCCTCTCCGACCCCTCGCACTCCAAGCCGTCCAGGTCGTCGAACAGGCTGGAGCCCCACGAGACGGCGAAGGCCTCGGGGGCCTTGGCCTCGGGCTCCGCGCCAAGCCCCTCAGCACGCGCGAGCACCTTAGCGGCCCGCGTTTCGGCGACGGCGGCTGACGCCAACGCCTCCGCCGCCGCCGCCCCATTGCCTTCCGCCGCGGCCAGAGACGCGCGCAGGCGGCGCACCTTGGAGACACACTGGTCGCGCTTGCGATTGCACTCCCCCCTGTGGCCGCCCGCCCGCTTGTAGCTGTCAGCCGCCGAGGGCGGCGGCTCAGCGGCCTTGGGGCCCTTCCTCAGCAGCTCGATCCTGGCCTTCAACACGTTCTTGAGATCCTGGTCGTCGGTGCTCTTCATGGCCTCCATCAAGTGGTCGACCGTGGATGTGGCCGACGACCACGGCGCCTTCGGCGACGCCTTGTCATCTCCCTGCTCCTCGCCCTCGTAGCCCCACACCTCCGCACTATCAGCAAAGGACACCCTCGCTGGTCACTGGGACCTGGAGCGAGGGCCGCGCTTCTTCTTCTTCGGAGTGAACAGGGGCATCTCACGCTGACATATGGTGCAGATGCCGTGCGACCGACTGATCACATCGTTCCACTCGCACTTCCCGCACTGGCAACGGCTCCACAGCCGCTGGTCACGCTCAAAGAACCCCGACATGGCAGAGTAGAGCGTGGACTGACACTCTTGCTTTGGTCACAGATGAATTGCCCCGCGAGGGGCCTCGCTTTGCGTGCCTCAAGCGCTCCGAGCAAGCACAAGAGCCGGCACAAGCAAAATGGCTTGGGCATAGGTGGCTCGAGAGGAAATGAGGAGGAGGAGGAGGAGGAAGAGGAGGAGGAGGAGGAGGAGGAGGAGGGGGGGAAGGGGTAGGAGGAGAGGGAGGGGAGGGGGAGGGAGGAAGGAGGGGGAGGGGGGGAGGGAGGAGGGGGGAGGGGGAGGAAGGAGGGCGGAGGGAAGAGGGAGGAGGGAGGACGGAGAAGGGAGGATGAAGGAGGAAGGAGGAAAGAGGAAGGAGGAACGAGGAAGGAGGAAGGAGGAAAGAGAAAGGAGGAGGGAGGGAGGGAGGGAGCAAGCGGAGGATGAGGATGAGAAGGAGGATGAGGAGGAGGAGGAGGAGGAAGAGGAGGAGGAGGAGGAGGAAGAGGAGGAGGAGGAGGAGGTGGAGGAGGAGGAGGAAGATGGCCCCAGATATTGTGCTCATATTATGTGTAGCATGTATATACACATATATACATATATATATGGATATGTAAAGAAAGATATATAAGCGCACTTACGCATGCATGATGGCATTCATATACACCACTACGTGTAAAATAAATACAACTTGTATACACGATGTTCCAATATCGTAGCCATCCTAAACGCATGCGCAGGGATTTGCATATACGTGCAACAAAGATGGTGAATCATATGCCGAGATTTGCATCCGTCACTAGAGTACGATGTATGAGTGGATGTTCTTGTGCGAGCATATGCTTGCATGGTTGCGATGAAGGGAAGGCGTCTGCGCATTCCATAGGCAAGCACCACGCAGCCGGTGCGCGGTATAAGGATGAGCGGTTCGGCGGCTGGGAAAACAATGATCGACGAAGTCGGTTTTGAGACTTACTGCGTGAGAGTAGTCGAGGCAGGCAGATTCAAGGTGGTCGCGGGTCCAGCGCGTCGACGCATGGCGGTAGAGTTCTTTGTCAGCAGCGCGCGGTTGCCAGTGGATGCCGCGCCGATTTGCACGCGCGGTCGCCCGCCGAGCCAGAGCGCGGCGTCGCGCCCCCCGCCGATCTCGCCCCGCGCCCAGGATCAGCGGCTGCGGAGCTGCCGACGCGCAGCCGACTGGCGGCGGCGTTGCCTGGGGGCGCAGGCGCCCGCGCGCCGCCGCTGCCGTCGCCACATTTAAACCGCGCGTCGCGTGATCATATGGCGTGCTCGTTGCCGTCGCAACCGCGATGTGATCGCGCAGTTATTCAGGCGATGAGAAACGCTCAAAATTCATATGTTTGCCCGCAGGGCCGTTCCAAATCGCGCCAAGCACATAGGTTTTCAATGATTTGTGCGTTGCGACGCTGGTTCCAGGGACGTTCTGGTTGCGCCTTGGCCGCGCAGATTATGTAGACGTGTACTGAAACAGACGATTTTTGGGCAATGCGCAATACTTCGGCAGCGCCTCGGCTCGAGTCTCGGCCCGCCGCTGAATTCGACCCGAGTCCTTTTCTACGCGAGCCCGTTGCAGCGATGACGCACGCTGTCGGCGCAATCGTCGAGGTCGTTGGCCTCGAGAACCGCCCCGAGTTGAACGGTCTCTTCGGAGTTGTCAGCAGGGTTTGCCCGTGGACCGACCGCGCGCGCGCCCTCGACTCGCGCGGCGATCCGACCTGTCATCGATTTGCGATCTGGCCGCTATCCCTCTTGGGCTGCCGATCGGCGCCCCCGACGCCAGGATCGATCGACGCGAGGGCGCCGATCGGATCTGCTCGGGGTTTTGCTTGCTCGAATCGCCAGGCCCGCGCGGGGCCGAGGTTCTGGTGAACCTTGCCCCGATGGTCTTCATCGCGATGCGCGCGGCGCGCGTCGCCGCGGCCGCGCACCCTGCAAACATGTGGATTCGCGTCACTTGCAGGATGGGCGGAGTCAGAATCAACTCCGTCTGCGATTCCCCCGACCACCCTGGCCGCTGCGCGGTCGGCCACCTCGCGAGGCGGGCTGGGCGGGGAGGTCGTCGCGGAAGGAGCTGGTTGAACCGCGCCCGGAGGCTTCGCGCGCACTGGGTACTTTATTACTACTACTACTACTACTACTACTACTACTACTACTACTACTACTACTACTACTACTACTACTACTACTACTACTACTACTACTACTACTACTACTACTACTACTACTACTACTACTACTACTACTACTACTACTACTACTACTACTACTACTACTACTACTACGACTACTACTACTACTACTACTACTACTACTACTACTACTACTACTACTACTACTACTACTACTACTACTACTACTACTACTACTACTACTACTACTACTACTACTACTACTACTACTACTACTACTACTACTACTACTACTACTACTACTACTACGACGACGACGCCCGACGACGACGACGACGACGACTACTGCTACTGCTACTACTACTACTACTACTACTACTACTACCTAAACTACTACTACACTACTACTACTACTACTACTATCACCACCACCACCACCACTACTACTACTACTACTACTACTACTACTACTACTACTACTACTACTATACTAACTACTACTACACTACTCACTACTACCACTCCGCTACTACACTACTACTACTACTACTACTACTACTACTACTACTACTACACTACTACTACTACTACTACTACTACTACTACTACTACTACTACTACTACTACTGCTACTACTACTACTACTACTACTACTACTACTACTACTACTACTACTACTACTACTACTACTACTACTACTACTACTACTACTACTACTACTACTACTACTACTACTACTACTACTACTACTACTACTACTACTACTACTACTACTACTACTACTACTATTACTACTATACTACTACTACTACTACTACTACTACTACTACTACTACTACTACTACTACTACTACTACTACTACTACTACTACTACTACTACTACTACTACTACTACTACTACTACTACTACTACTACTACTACTACTACTACTACTACTACTACTACTACTACTACTACTACTACTACTACTACTACTACTACTACTACTACTACTACTACTACTACTACTACTACTACTACTACCACTACTACTACTACTACCCTTCTCCCCCATGTCTTCCAGGCCGTGCCTGGAGGGCGCATGCACCGACCTTGGCTCAGGGTCGGCTTGGCCAGCATCGGTGCATATGCATACTTCTGCCACTATCCTCGAGACGAGGCCCAGGACATGCTTGCGTCGTTGTCGCCTTGTCGGACCTCCTCGGAGGCCCACGTCGCCACGGCTGGATTCGCCTCGACGTCCTGGTCAGAGCGCTCCCTGGCATGGGTCTGGAGAGCCGCGGTACCAGCAGTTATTCTCCAGATATGTTCGGGCGGGTGGTAACAGGGGGTGGCCCCAACAGGGGGGTGAAGAGCAGGGCCCCGAAGGAGCCCCTGTGGGCCCCTGCTGGCCTCACAGGGACCCCCCACGTAGGCCACTTCCCATGTGGGCCACCCCCCACCCCACGCACGCGTCCAGGCCCTGATCTCCGACGATCTGCATTTTTTTTCAAGCGGCAGGCATCCCATAAATTTCGGCCCTCGGGGGCCGCTGTCGGGCTCCGGGGCTGTATGAAGAAGGAGGCCAGGGCCACGCATTTCCCCCGGGGAGGCGGTCGGGACCCCGTGGGCCGCGGATGGAGAAACAGACAACAGCAACAACAACAACAACAACAACAACAACAACAGCAACAACAACAACAACACCAACAATAACAACAACAACAACAACAACAACAACAACAGCAACAACAGCAGCAGCAGCAGCAACAGCAACAGCAACAGCAACAACAACAGCAACAACGACAACAACAACAACAACAACAACAACAACAACAACAACATCAACAGCAGCAGCAGCAGCAGCAACAGCAACAACAACAACAATCATTTTAAGACTGTTCGCCCTTATCTGCTCGATCGTACAATAACGTGTATTTCTCAAACCCTCGATACCCACCCTCTTCGTCTTCGATCGAACCCCTTTTGGGAGGTATACCTTTCTTCCCTGCAGGCCGGGCCCCGGCAAGCGGCGGGGCGGCCGCGGACCGTCGGCCTGGCCAGCGGCAGCGCTGATCGGCGGGGCGGCCGCCGACCGTCGACCCGACCCCAAGAGGGACGGACAGGGGACCGACCACGACGACGACGACGACGACGACGACGACGACGACCACGACGACGACGACGACGACGGCGACGGCGACGACGACGGCGGCGACGACGACGACGACGACGACGACGACGAGCGAAAGCAAGAGCGAGAGAGAACGACAGCAGGGTCACAAGGACACGAAGTACGCCACGAAGGGCGACAGCGGGGACACGAAGGGCGCGAACGAGCGGGGGCCACGAAGGGCATACGTATACTTGGCCGCGGAAGGCAAGGACGGGGCCACTGAGGGCAGCAACGGGGCCACGAAGGGCAGCGAGGGGGCCACGAAGGGCGACAGCGGGGCCACGAAGGGCAGGAAGGGGGCCACGAAGGGCGACAACGGGGCCACGAAGGGCATCCGCATGGGGCCACGACGGGCGCGAACGATCGGGGGCCACGAAGGGCAGATCATGCGGGGCCACAGAAGGCAACGACGGGGCCACTGAAGGTAGCAACTGGGCCACGAAGGGCAGCGAAGAGGGCACAAACGGCGACAGCGGGGCCACGAAGGACATGCACATGGGACCACGACGGGCGCGAACGAACGGGGGCCACGAAGGGCATACGTATACTGGGCCGCGGAGGGCAAGGACGGGGCCACTGAGGGCAGCAACGGGGCCACGAAGGGGAGCGAGGGGGCCACGAAGGGCGACAGCGGGGCCACGAAGGCCATGCATATGGGGCCACCACGGGCGCGAACGAGCGGGGGCCACGAAGGGCATACATATATGGGGCCACGAAAAGCAGCGAGGGGGCCACGAAGGGCAGCGACGGGGCCGCGAAGGGCTGCAAAGGGGCCACGAAGGGCTGCGACGTGGCCACGAAAAGGCTACAACGGGGCCACAAAGCAAAGCGAGGGGGCCACGGAAGGCTGCAACGGGGCCGCGAAGGGCAGCGGGGCCGCGAAGGGCAGCGAGGGGGCCACGAAGGGTTGCAACGGGGCCACGAAACAAAGCGAGGGGGCCACGAAGGGCTGCAACGGGGCCACGAAGGGCAGCGAGATCCGGTCTCTGAGGTCATTTGTGAGGGGGTCTTAAACGTGAGCGCGACTCCTGGGTGCCTGGGTGTCGGAAGCGCGGCGCTTGAATAAATTGCAAGACCTCCCAAGGCAAGGACGCTATTCTTCAGTAGCTTGCAAGCAAGTCTCCAGCGAGAGCGCGACCCCACAGCGCCGGGAGAGCGATTCCTGAATAAATTGTGAGGAAGTCCCCAGCGAGAGCGCGACTCCTGAATAAAATGCAAGGAAGTCTCGGGCGGGAGCGGGGGTCCTGGCTAAGTTGTGAGGAAGTCTCAGGCGGGAGCCGTTGATGTTGTTGTTATTGTTATTGAATCGCTTCGCTCATTCCGCCGGCCCGTATTGTGCCATCGCGGGTTCTTGGGGGGTCTTGGGAGCCCTTGGAAGCTTCGTGGGAGCTTCTTGGGAACTTTGGGAGGCCTCGTGGATGGCTCTGGGTGGGCCCTCTTGGTGGTCTCTTGGGGGGGTCTGCCTGGCCTTTTGGGGGCCTCCTGGGAGCTTCCTGGGGGTCTCTTGGGGGCCTCTTGGGGCTTTCTTGCGGCCTGTTGGGGGCCTCTTGGGGCTCTCATGGGGGTTTCGTGGGGCTACTTGGGGGCTTGTAGGGGCATTTCGGCGGCGTGTTTGGGCGGGGGGTTCAAAGTTTCCGTTCAGGTTGCCCCTGTGGACCTCAATCATGGGGCCGTTTTGGGGCCTCTTGGACCGTCTTGACGGTTTCTGTGGCCTTCTTGGAGCGCTCTTGGGCCGTCTTTGAGCGGTCTTGAGGGTCTCTCGGGCCGTCTTGGGGTGATCTTAGGGGCCTCTTGGACCGCCTTGAAAGGTGTGAAAGACGAAGAGGCGGATATGTTAAAAATGCACGTTTTCCTAAGGGAATGAGACGGTTTTTGCTTGCGGGAGCCCTCTTGGGACGCCGCTTAGGGACCTCTTGGG